ACGTGTTTTTTATGGTAATAAAGACTGATTGAGAAATGCTTGAGCAAATAGGTACGGAGAGTAGCACTGAGAGAAAAATATAGTCAAAGCGTAACAGAATTTCGCTAAAAGTAGATATATTTATTACTACAGAATGAAAGACCTTCCACCTGCATTATTGGTTTGATAACCACTTAGATAGTCTCCTCTAGTACGCACATTGAAATAAAGAGAAACAACGTTGACACAAATATCATACTTTGAAATTTTCTCTCAGTGAAGCAAAACGTATCACAGTACATAGTATCATAAAAAAAGAAAAGAATCTTAACTTGTTTCACGGTACGCCCTTTTACTGCCCAAAATTATCGTCATTTCATCTAAAGCAGTAAACCATAATACTCATCGTAGTTTGTACGAAGGTTTTAAATTTTTGGTAAATGGACGAAGAATTATATTTCTACGTCGAATATGGAGCGACAGTATTAATGATATAGGTACCACCTAACATGTAAATACTCGCATATCAAGCTTGTTTTCTACTGCTGCTGTAGCAGTTTCTAAACGGAAAAAAATCATCTGAGATATCTTTCAAGTTTTTCTACTCTTGTACAGAAAAATGTTACGAGAATATTACGATGAAAGCCAGTCAGCAAAAACCTCTGTGTTTTGTATGTAAAAAATAATGGAAACGTGCACACTGTAATTCTTCATCGAGTACAATTCAATTAACGTTTCAAAAAAGCTGATCCATCAATTGTGAAAGTTTTTAACACTGCCAATATGTTTACTAAATATTTTTTTTGTTCGTTTCTGACACTTTTCATCGTCTTAATGCATATATATTTTTCGAAATATACGTTCATAAAAAAAAAAAATAATTGTTATTCTATCTTCGATCGCAATTTTGCAGAAAAAAGAAGAAAATACTTGTGAAACATAAACAATACACAGAAGTATATTTTTGCTTATTTCCTGGCATTGTATTTACTATATGACGAGGACAATATGATGACAAAATGAAAGAGAAAGATTCCTACTCAACTGTACAGAAACCATTAACCATTGATGTTTAGACTAGAAGCGATACATTTGTTGCTGAACCTAATTCATTTAAGAGTTATTTTTATAGGACAAATTTATTTGTTCGAGCGCAATTTCTCTGTAAGCATTGTTATATAAGGCCAACTATAATGGCCAATGTGACTAAACATAAGGAGAGAAATATCACATGTTAATTATAAACGCTGAAACGATAATATCGCATATTGCACAATTTAGAACTTTCCATTCATTGAATTTTACTAACATCAATAAAGAAATAAAACTTCTGTAAATTGTCAGAGTAATATTACAAATATTCGCAAGACACATTAGTTACAAAATAAAAAAAGAAGTTTCAACATAGCAATGGTTTATTCTTTACATTGACTATATCTTGTTAAAGACGCGTAAAGTAATTAATAATTCAATATATATCCTTTCTATAGTTAGGAATTAATAAATTTGTATTGTTACTCTGAAAATACTAAAACAGACTTTGCACAAACGTCAAAATGATGTGCTTTGAAGCAATAATATTACTAGGCGTTACAGTAATAACAGTTTAGGCTGTTGCATATGTATGTGAATGCATATATTTTCCCTTATATTTAACATAAATAGTTGCGCGTGCATATTGATGATTGCCATATTTTATAATTGTGCGTTATTAATATGCACGTGAACGTTCCATTTTCGAAAATTTGAAAAAAAAAACTGATACAATAATGTATCGCTTTGTTTCATGTAAATAATTAGGTATTGTACTTTATAAGTGTAAATATTGTAGAACTCTTCGTTAGCGCAAACTTCAACATGTTCTAGGCCATAAGGAACTTTAAAATCGAATGACATATAAATTTTGGATAAAGATTAATTATTGATTAATAGCACAATGTTTTGTATATTTGTATATTTAATTTAATGATTTAATAATAAATTACCCTTTTTGCTCGATTGTTCACGTTATAAATAATTATCGTTTATGATATGTACAGTTGAAATTACATAATGTTTACAATTGTTTTCAAAATATAAATATATACTCAGTTAAATATATGTAAATAAACATTTTATAATTACTACATCATTATTATTTTATTGCACTGAATTATATATATGTCCTACACATTACTTTTCACAAGTACTATTAAAGGTAGTATACTTTAAATAAAATCATACTCAAGGAAAAGATATTTAATAAAAAAAGACCACATCTATTACTATTTATTATATGTATTCATGAAAATTAGGTACCTAGTATGTATGTAGTACTTTTTGCAATTTGAGCTTTTAATTCAGAATTCTCTTTCCTCAACTGATTTACCACTTGCCTTAGGGTTCTAGCTTCTTCTAACAATTGAGCATTTTCATCTAAACTTTGTGAGAAACTTTCTTGAACATCTCGTAATTCTGTAATGTACTGGCATGCCCTTGCTAGAATTCCTCCTTTACTCTGTAAACATAAAACATCAATATGTATTAGACATACATATGTCTTTTACAACAACGCATCTTTATAGAAAGATGAAACCTAATCTGTCGAACGTTGTGATTTATAGTTTGATAGTACAAAATGGATCATACGCAATTCGATAAAATAATATAAAACGGAAAATGTTGTATATCCTTTATTTCCTTATAAAACGAAAAGACTTATCGGATGACTTAATACTTTGAACTAAAATACCATAATAATAATAAAAAAAAAACCAGTGCATGATGTATAGGACTTAGATGTATAAAAAATATGTACTATATTACCTGTAACTCAAAATTGGTTTTTACATCTCCATCTCCTGTTGAACTTTGTTCACACTCAGGTAAGAGCTTCCCCAATTTTGAAATCCAATTATTAATTTTATCCCTACGGCGTCTTTCAACTTCATTATGTGTTACCCTTCTTCTTTCATCTCTCTATATGATATTATATAGAGTAATAATTAATATCATTCAGCAATTTCAATTAGATATAAATCACATAAAATATTCTACCTTTTTAATGGTAGTAAGGATATTTTGTGGATTATCTATTTGAAGTTTAACACGTGGTGCAACTGTTCTTGTAGTTTCTGAGGTAACTACTTCATTACTATTACTAAGTACATAGAACTGACCATTTATAGGTGATGTCAAGACTTGAACTGTATTATTTATAGGTGCAGCTATTGATAATTCAGTGTTATTTGTATGATTATCACCAACTTGTACCACACGGTACGCCACTGCATTATCATTTCTATTTACTTCACATAATTGATACTGAATATTATCTTCTTCTGTGACTGTTTCTATTTCTGTGTCGCAATCTATTATTTCTGCTTCTTCTAAAACTACGCCGACATTGTCATTGCTAATTGTATTTTCATCCACACTATAAAACATTATATACTTACAAAAGCATACACGGAAAAATGTGGTATGAAATAACCTTATACGTCAGACATTTGTTTTCCAATTTTCATATGGTATAAAAATATACATTTGATTTTACGAAACATAAATATAAATTCATATATTTAAAAAAAAAATAAATTATTTTACATATCTTTTTTAAGTTCATAGAAATCAACAGAAACATTCTATTAAGAATATGTCATTATTTTATTTTTATGATTATATTATGGTAAAAAAAAACATTTTACAAAATTATAAAATCAATAAAAAGCATACCTTTCATCAATATTGCCAAAATGATTTAATACTTCCATTGTAATATTCAGATTAAATTACCTTAAATCAAAACTTTATCCACATAAGAATGCACTACATTGCACTTGCACTGCAATCTATTTACTGTAGGCAATGCGTCACAAATCAAAAAATTATATAGATAAAATAACGTATTTTAAATATTAAATATTTAAATGTACAAAAATATTAAATATGTTATCATATTTAATACAAAGTGCCAAATTCTTATAATAAAAGTATAACATCTAAAAAATAATTATACTCAAACTATTTAAATAATATTTTTATAAGTAATTTTATTGACTATCTAGTTATAAAAGTGTAAGATATATTTCTCTTTAACATTTTTTATATAATGATTCAAATATTATAATATCATAATATTAATGAATAAATATTTAGAATATTTATAGAATTTTTGCACGATTAATTATAGGCAATAAAGGAATAATGGGAATAAATTAATATGTAGTAGTTATGATTTATCAGTTATGATTAAAACCAAATATAGTATCGTATGTTCAAAATTGGCACGTTTAATAGTAATTTTTTGTTTACTTCCCTGCTTAAATGCACTGATAATGTTCAATGTTAGGGAAAGATTAAATACCATATTTTAAACTCGGCCATTAATAGTAAAATATATTAATTAAAAATATATTAAATAAAAAAGTAAAATATATTCATTAAAAAATGAAGTATATGTAATGTATATGGTATATATAACAAAGTCTTTATACAGTAAAAAAATAAAGTAATATTTGTGGCATCGTTTTCAATGTTATTCTGTATTCACCGTATATAAATTGATTATATTGATTTTTAGATTTACATGTTGTATAACAAAGAAGTCTAAAGAATACTTAGATTGAAATGAGATTGCGAAGTTTTTTCATGTATGTTGCAAGTACAATATAATGTCGTGGCATATTAAATGATTTAACTTCGGTTTGTTGGATATAAAATTACTTGTTCTTTTTTATTTGTTACTTAATGATTTTCAACGCGTAGGATTCAAAAATGCAAACCTGAACTTTAGAAATCCAACGGTTCAAAAATTATGCATATGTAAGATACGCATTTTTACTGTATTTTACAGGTTAGCACGATGCCATATTACTCTTATCAATCATTTGATTGGTCGATACAAATGAGCATTGAATTAAACTTCGCCAAATATTAGCTTGTATTCTCGTAGAGGATAGAATGAAATTGAATCTAATCTGATATTTACGACAATCAAAATCCCGCCGTAAAATGGCCGATACTCATGTATATTTGTGTGCAGCCAGCGATTCTACTCATTGAACGAATCATGGATTGGACCACCATGGTGTCAGAGTAACGCGTGAAATACGTTAAAAATGTTACATACGCATAACTTTTAAACCATTAGATTCTTAAAATTAAGACTTGTGTTTTTGGATTTTACGCGCCAAAGACATTAAATGACAAACAAAAAAGGCAATAATTTCATGTTTGATAAATTAAAGTTCATCATATTTTTATACGTTTTCATATGTGGTGGTGTTTTTATGTTACCCTAGTATGGTATCACTGCTCCATGTGTGTGATTTACCGAATTTTGTGATTTAAATTCAACCACTTGTTGTAAATATAAATTTAATATATTAATCATGCTTCATTAAAATATGAATCTTTGATATACATGTATGCATGCAGAGTACATTCGATAAAAGGTAAAAGATAGGTTACGAGACAATTGACGCACCAATATTTTTAGAACTGCGTTTTCAGTGAATTGATACACGACACGAACTGGTGAAAATATTGTGTTTAACATTTCTATTTTTCTTTAGAATGAAGCCTCCAAACGAATTTATTTTCTTATTGATTCATATCTTTGCAATCATCTTAATTGTACATTGTGAAGATGAAAACTACTTTGAAAATATAGAGTAAGAATATTAATAAGTTCTTTTTACATCTAAAATTAGGAGAAATTTATATTATTATATGTATAAATTAAACAATACATAATTTTACAGGAACTCAGAAGAACTAATAGATCCATATTCATTTTTTTATGATAAGCACAGTAAAACAATGGATAAAGAAATAAACATGGACATGTATGTATAAAATGTATATTCAGTTGTTGTAAATGCTATAAGTATTAACTTTTTCAGTAGAAAAGATATGGTACAAGAAAGCACCAAAGTTGAAAACGAGTTGGAACCTCTTGAACATGAAAATAATTATAGTAGCCACGAGGCGATCTTTTATAAGCGTCTTATTAATCTATTATTATCAAATATTCGCATAGAGGTAAAAGGCTAATATTATTTATGGTGTAATTTCTCAAACATGTTCAAGAAGAATGTATTTTGCTTTTTGGAAACAGAATGAGAATGAAGTATCAATAACAGGAATATTAGAGATTGAGGTATCCCATTCTCAAATGGAAATACTTAGAAATTTTCAAATTCATAAAACATCTTTAAGAGAAATTGATGAAATTCTGAGTAATATAATACAGGAACCTCGATATAATTATATGTTTGAAGCTGTACATATATTTGATGTATTGCACAAAGGTTTTGGCACAATACTTAAAACAGTACAAGAATATGTAAGAATATTGGTTTTGTTTAATTATATTTGTGGTTTATATATTTATACGAAAAGAATTTTATTAATTTAATATTTTAGCCAGATGGAGCTATAATCTTATTTACAATGATAATGGCTTGTTTGACATTTAAAATGATGAGACGTAGCCAAAGATTTCCTATTTTGTGTATTATACAAATTATATTCATATTGAGCTTTTTTATGACTTGGTGGCAGCTTATAAAGGTAAATAACATTAACTTATAATTTTATTTTAGTTTTAAAAGAATATTATTTCTTAAGTATATTTGTTCTTTTAAGGAAGCCGAAATTAAGTCTGTTGCTGCACAAATGAAATTTTCAGACATACCAATTTCGTGTCAACCCGATAAGATGAATTTGTGGCACAAGTTTATTTCATTCTTTTGTAAGTATATATTATTTTGGTACATTGCAAAATGCTCTGGAAGGTTACTGTCATCTTTCTATCGTCATCGTTGTAGCTAAGGATGATTGTGAGCAATATTATGAAACAATAATGTCTAATCCAAAACTAAAAATTACACCTGCATTTGCATTATCACATTTTATTACTACCGTTGTTCTTCATCCAGTTACGCACATAGGAACTGTTATATCTGGCTTTATAAATAATGCTACAGGTAATTGATAAGTTTTATTCATAGTTACATCCTAATAATTCAGTTGATTTAATAATTTCATTTAATCTTTTAGATAATCTACCTTGGACATATGGATGGATAATAAAATGTATGCTGTACATATGTATAGGTTTTGTTATAATAATGATACCATTCTTTCTGTCTGGAGCATCATTTAATTTAGGCTTAGGACCATTATTAAGATTTGGAATTAGCCATGAGAGAAAATATGGAAAAGGTAATTCATTACACAGTCTAGAAAACCGAGAACCTGTACAGATAATTCTTAAGGTAATATATAATTTCCCTTGTTTTATTTGGAATGTTTTGTTTTTAACTAAATTTATCCCAGATTTAATTGTAAATCTTTTGTATGTAGTTGTTTAAAAACTCGAAACTTTTTTTAGGTAACTCATGGTACCGACGTACCGCAAATAGAAGATGTTCCGAAAGTCAAGCAATCGAACGCCTTACCAGCTTTAAAAGATTATTGCGCAGAAGAAACTATTGTGACAGATAGCGATATTCGGGAAAATTTCGATGATTTATGTCGCGGTGATACGATACAGAACAGTAAATTATCGAATAATCATAATGAAGAAAAATTGGATGCAATAATAGGAGAAAATAAGGATGGTAGAGGGGATGGTTAATAATTTATTGATTACTTGTTTCGTGATATATATATAAACTGTTAATTTCTAATGTACTCAATCAAGTAAATATTTCATTACATAAAACTTAATGTTACTTATTGTTAATACTTAGATTAATAATTAACGAATCCAAAATGTCAATTTTATAACTGTATTTGACAGCTTGTGACCTATAAAGTATTGTTTCAGTATTGTTTATATTTATTTTGTTTGTAGTTGGATTGTGATTATATCATATTGTATAAGGAAGACGATATTTAATATTTTTACAATATGCTGTAACAATGTCCATATTATGTGATTCCAGTGCTTTAATATTTCCAATATTTAAATACACGTACTTTTATAAACATGCAATGTTCGTTTAATACAATATGCAAATTCTATATAATTTAATAGAATTATTTCGCAAGCAGAAATACGGGTACTAATGTGAATTCAGCCTAATGAATAGGAACGAAGAATTCACTAAACGTATATATCCTACTGCTATGATGAGCTGAATTTTTTGTATTTATTTTAAAACGTATTTGTGTGGAAACTATGTTGGATATACGTACATAACAAGCGCAGATGTTGTTGATGTAGCCGGAATAACGATTAGGAGAAGTGGTAGGTGACGACGATCCCGCAAAACTAAGTTCTGTGTTCGTAATTAATTCTATTTATGCAAACCAGCGCGTTCGTCTCTACACACACAGCACAGTTTCAAAACAACTTGTCATCTCATACGTACCTCGTCAAGAATCTAATTAAATTTCAACATTATGTTCGAAAATTATCGTTAAATTTAATTATGAATATATATATAATTTAAAAATTGAAGTTCGAAACTGCAAAAATTAAATTTTTACACTGTATCACTTGCAACTTTTCGGATGTTTAAATAGTTTTGTTTAAGAAAACAAATTTGACTAACGTAAACCAAAGGTGTGAAGCTTGTCTATCAGATCGAAAAAAAATTTGTAAGAACTGGTCAATCAAAATATTTAGAATGGCTCGATTGAACGAAGCAACGGCTAAAGAACTTTTTCAAATTGTGTATAGGTCCATGAACAGCAGGTGTGTTTATAGGTAACAAAGAGCGATATGTATTTAGGGCAGAGGGTTGGGTTTCATAGGGCCATAGATGCATTACATGCTCGAGATGATGTCTAAGAGAACCGAGACTGGTACGCGTATGCCGACGTGTTTGACCCTTAGTTCTGTTTCCGCAAACCATCGTCCTTTATCTGACGTATATTATGCTTGTTCCAAAATGTTTGTACCTTTGTGCGCGTTCGGTGTTTTGTCATGAATTTACACATCTAAATATTCTCAAGATTATTTGAAGGTTTCTTCTTTAGTTACTATTATAATAAAAAATTAAAAAAATTTAGATTTGAATAATATCAAACGCGAATCACTCAAATAATATCTTATATCTTTAAAACGTGAATAATCGTTTAACTTCTAACTTCGTTATCGTCAGTTTGTCAGACGGTTTTTCTTTTTTCATCGCTTCAGCAACTACAAGCATCGAGCAAATTACAAGCGTAAAACGAGCGTTTGGAACGCTCGTAAGGAGTCTGCAAACTTTTCACGACTTCGTGGAAGTTCGGTGCAGCGTAGCTTAATCCGTTTTCGCGATGTCTAAAGCAGACTCGATCATAGATGCATCGACGAGCATCGAGAAGGCTATCAAAATAACGAACCTATCTCATTTCAAAGTGGCTTAATTGCGCTTGGCTGCATCTAAAACGACCCGGGATCCGTTCTATGCACGTGCAACCAGGCTTTTCACCTGAAACCCAAACGGCCCTTCCTTACATCTGCTCCATTGATGTATCTTGGTTCGTCATTAGTTAGCGGTGAACCGCTAAAAATTCGAAGAACTTCGAATACCAGACATCGAACGTGTGCATGGCTTGATGCGTGATGCCAACGTGTGTGTACGTATATATGTCTTGATCTTCGAGAAGCTTTCTTCGACATCCTCCGTTACTCAGAATTCCCTGAAGACTTCCACCTGGTTACGCTCGAATACCGATCGACGAATCGATGATCGATTCACAAAGTGCACCCGTGGCCGATGTAAAAATAGAGGATGGTTGGTTGTTCGGTTGGCCGATATCATTCGTACCGAAATATCAAAGTGTTCGTATCGTAGTTCCGATTTTTCTTCGGTTAACTTTCCTCTTTGCTCGTACGACTCGCGAAGAAAAGTTGGATCGTTTCTATCGCCGCACCGGTACTGTCATTTCTTTCAAAGAGATTTTCGGGAAAGTTATCGATAATTCATTTTAAGTGGTACATTACAATTGGAAACTCCATAGGAAAGTTCCAACGGAAGACAAACTTCCAGAGGCGGTCGAAGTCTTCAACAAAGTGAAATACATAATGCATGCCTAGCTGGAACATAATTAAGCAAGGCGGGGGAAAGACGAAGTTTTAACCGATTTACTTCGTTCCCGGCGCGAGGTAGACAATTCAACCTGAGTTCTTGCAGAACTTCGTCTTAGAATATGCTACGATCGTTTTAATAACCATCTTTCATTGCGATATAGTCGATGTAACTTATCCATGCTTCGTGAGGATACATGCGATCATTTTTTGTTTCCGTTCCTTACGACAGTTTACGCCAATCATTTACAGAAGGGTTATTCCGTTTAGTCGACTGGAATGTGTGACCGTACAAACAATCGGATATCCGGCTTCACGATGTTACCGTTTCTTACACGGCTTTGATCGTTAGCCTGTAAATTTTCGTACCTCCATGTTAGCCGATCGAGGATTCAGTAACTCATGAGAGGTCTGGATATCGGGAAATGGATGGTAGGTGTAACGATCGGTTACTGCTACTAAACGTTTCGCTGTTCACCAGAATTGCTGAATGTAAACTGTCTATTACCGACGTTGGACCTGATCGTGCACGCTTCTGTTGAGTACGCATTTATCAGCATTGTGCAGAGCATGGAGACCAGAGAACTGGAACGATATAGATTTTCTCCGATCCTTCCTGTCTGGATTTACGTTTGTTCAAGCAGATATAGCCGACGTTGTCGTTGATATCGGTTACGATGAATAGAAAGAAAGCCATTTCTACAGTTATCGGTGAAGTTTTATCGATCCTAGTCCCCTTGGTTATTTAAAAAAAGACTCCTTTCCACTTTATAGATTTTAACGCGAACTTTGTGCGTTAAATGAAGTTTGTATAAGAGAAATACTTAAAATGTGTTCTAGTATGTATAGACACGATATTATATCAAGATAGCTCCTCTGTGGTCTATTAAAGCTGGCCAGTGACAAGCATCGTACTTGTGATCAAAGCTGCACCTATCTCTATATACAGTTTATTAATTACTTTGTCGTGTAAATACCGTTTCGCGAACGATTTTAATTGTTCGATCAATGAACGTCAAATTGCGAAAAATTATCTATTAGTCTTCAAAGCGATCGTTTCGTGCAAATTACATCGCTTTTGTAATTTTCCTCTTAAATTTACGACTTTTTATCGGATCATCTCCTGTAAAATTATTTAAATTCTAAATATGAATTTTATCTTTAATCTAGAAGGTAAAACTTTCACAACTCGCAAGTACATCAATATCTTTTTTTTTCTTATTTTATGCTATAGCTCTATTTCAAAGTTTCTATTCACCTGTTCGAAACTTGGAAATACCTAATTCCTATTTGTCTTTCAGAATCTTCGAGTGTCACGTGTAATTAACACTTTATCCAACGGTGATGACCGCTGGGAAGGTCCAACCAAAAAGGAAAGTGTAATTCAATGTCGGACCCGTGGACATATACACGAGCGAGCAGAAGTAACCGCATGATAACGCAGCATTCCAGTTTGAGAGGATAGTAATTAAGACCTCAACTGGTCCCAAGGGACTTTGTACGCCGTCTCCCTATATCTTATCGCATGGCTCGCCCGACTGGATGTCCATGCTTTATATATATATATGGGTTTATTCACCCAAGAGGGCAGTTCTGTATCGAATGAGTCGTTGTACTTGTAGCCAGAGTTCGATCTTTTGTTTCCCAATTATCGACGAAATTCTTTCGAACGATCAGGCATCGTTTCGTCACGAATTATCAGGTGTTTTGGTGAAACATGTGAGTTAAATTTGAGAAACGATCTATCTAGAGAATTTTTTTTAGTAGCATAGTAACGTATAGACTGTGAATGTCTATGTGTTTATGAGAACTTCCGAGGTTCAAAAACCTATAGAATCTACATAATATTCTAAGACGTAAATTCTAAGATGTAAAATATTCAAAGTAAAGTATTTTTATAATGTTTAGTAGTCAAAACAAATTGCTATCCCAGTTCTCGATATAGTAATGTGTTTCAATATTTAGAAGCATTAGAATTTAAATACTTTGTTACTCGTACTTTTCCTTCAGGTTCCTTATTTAAGATCTAGGTCGATCATGGAGCTTTGTTTTTTGTTCGAGGAAATACAAATTGCCGTCGATGCAAGAATATAGTCGCGCCATAGCGTAAGAATAAAAGGCTGCAAACGAGATTATACCTTAATACGCAATATACGTTTTATTTCGTAGAGTCGAGCGACCATGGACAACATGACAAATGTCGTTCCCACTGCTCTGACATAGACGTTGAAATTAGTCGTAGAGTGGTTGTTGTCGTTCAATCGACCAACGAAACCATTAAATGTCAGGAAATCGAACCGGTTTAGAGGAGCTTAAAGTAAAATTCCACGTCGCGGCTCCGTGGATATAAATACAGGAAAACTGGTCGTATGGCAATTATATCGGCACGACTTAACGTGAAACGATCATTTTTTCCGCCGTTGGTCATATGGGAAAATAGTTTAATATCAGTGAACCGGTTTGATGCTGCGTCGGTCGTTTCAAGTCTGACGCTCGGACACGCAGCTTGCATTATCCTTCGTGCATCAGAAATAAGAACAAAATAAAATGAGGATCATTAATGAACATACACCGCGAGAACTTAAGCAGACGTTGGAATACTGACTTCTTTTTAAGATACAAACATTATTCTGCACGCTTCGATTCAATACGCTATCGATGCATAACACAGACGCTTGTAAAATTTATATTTTCCAGATTCTTATTTTTATGATAAATACGATATCGCACGTCTCATTCTTGATTAATAGTTTGATGTGCTTAATTAATAATCGATGATCAACGCATTATATGCGTATAAGATATACAAAGTTTCTTAAGTTATAAAAATAACGTTCGTGCTCCAAAGATAAATAGAAGAACGCGAGATCACTACTCTTATTACGTTTATTAATTGCTAAATATTAAAGTGGCAAATGATCGATAGAAATCACAAAATTACAGAAGCTGGAAATAATTACGATGCAGAGT